GACTGTGACCTAAAAGGCTGGAAACAAGGCATCTCTTAGACAGGTCTCAGTGCCTCTTGGGGACTCAATTTCTTCATCTGTAACATAAGGCTAGCCTAGACTAGAATTTTAGAACATACGGATGTTCTTACTTGCTGCTATACCCAGAAAATGAAACTATTTTGCATAAAATTTTCCAAAGGGTCAGGGTTAGGAATGTGAAATCAATGCTTCACATATGCACTTCTACTCTTTAGAGATATATTATAGACACATACTTGCTGTCTACACAAAGCCTCCTTAGAGTTTTCCCTCCCAGATCTTTTTTATCTATGACTTGTGGTTTGCCCCCACGGGCAAACTTCCCCCACCACAGGCAACTCACATAAATCAATTTTCAAAACTCTAGAAAAGAGCAGCCAACAAAATCAGACATTTTCAGGTAGGTATCAAGATAGAAAAGCTACACACTAAGTCTGAGAAGTCACTGCAAATGGTACAGCCACTTTGGAAGGCAGTTTGGTGGTTTCTTACAAATATACTCTTACCTTACAATCCAGCAATCCTGCTCCTTGGTATTTACTCAAAGGAGCTGAAAACTTGTGTTTTCAAAACCCTGCACACAGGTATTTATAGCATCCTTATTCATAATTGCCAAAACTTGGAAGCAACCAAAATGCCCTTCAGTGTTGGTGCTTGGATAAATAAACTGTGGAACATCCAGACAATGGAATATCATTCAGCACTAAAAACAAATGAGCTATTGAACCATGAAAATCCATGGAGGAAACCTGAATGCATATTACTAAGTGAAAGAAGCCAATCTGAAAAGGTAACATAGTGTACAATTCCAACCTCATAATGCTCTGGGAAAGGCAGAACTATGGACACAGTAAAAGTATCCTCGGTTGCCAGAGGTTGGGTGGGGAAAGAGATGAAGAGGTGGAGCACAGTGAATTGGTGGCGCAGTGAAAATAGTCTGTAGGATATTATAATGATGGATACATGGCATTATACATTTGTCCAAACCCACAGAAAGTATATGAGGAAGAGTGAACCCTAATACAAACTATGAGCTTTGAATGATGATGTATCAATATGGGTTTATCTGTTGTAACATTGGTACCACTCTGGTGGGTGATGCTGATAACAGGGGAAGTTAGGCATATATGGGGCCAGGGGTATGTGGGAAATCTCTGTACCCGCCACTTAATTTTGCTATGAACCTAAAACTCCTCTGAAAAATAAAGTCCTTAAAAAAAAAAAAAGCACAAATGCTACATCCAACACCCATTGGTCTAGGTAACTATGTAACAGCCAAACTGTTTTGACTGAATGCCTTAAATTTTGTTATTTTTAATACATCAAATTTATTAAATAAATTAAGTAAGAAGAAGGGAGAAGTTATCTCTCTCTTACAGTCAATTGACTCATTCTTGAACTAAGATGATGGGTGGCTTGAATTGCTTGACAAGCCCCTTTGTGGGGTAAGGGTACAAGTCCGTGAGTTTTCACAGAACTTGCCTGTCAGTTCAGTCAAAATGGTACCCAGTGTAGACGCAGCTGACAAAGTGTTCGGAGAACTGATTAAAGACAAAGGTTCTTTTAAATTCATTGTGTTCCAGAGGCACCACGTAAATATGAATGTTGATTTTTCTTGCTTATTTACTGCCTTGTTTACTTGAACTTGAAGTGTTTTTGCAATTTATAATACCATGTAAATTTACCAAATTACAATAATACCATGAAAAATTTAGCAGTTGGGACTAAAACAAAATTTATCTAGAGCAGTGGTTCTCAGAGTACTGTCTCCAACCAGCAGTATTGTTATCTGGAGCTTGGTAGAAATGCAAATTCTCAGCCCACCTCAGACCTACTCATCCAGAAACTCTGGAGGTGGAGCCCAGCAATCTGTGTTATAACAAATCATTCAAGGGATTCTGATGCTCACTCAGGACTGAGAACAACTGCCCTGAAGGAAAAGAAAGAAGGGACAGCACCAGGTGCCTCGAATAAGACTGAGTTCATGAGGACTGGACAGGAGAGCCTAAGGATTTTCTCCTATGCATCAATTAATGCTATGATGTCTTAAAGTTCTTTTGTGTGTTTTTAATTCCTTCTTTTCATCTTCGGTAATTCAAGCACTGAGTTTAGGCCACACAGAACTGGCCAAAAAGATAGTAGCAGACTGATAAAGATGGATCACCACAGAGTAACTTAATTAAAACTAGCAAAATCCCTAGGATCCAATGTGATCAGTCTAGCTACACTAGGTGGCTTTACAAAAAAATCATCATCAAGGCAGTGAGCTAGTTGTTTGCTTGGGAATTAGCAATAACAACTCAAGGCATGTAAATCCATTGAATGTAAATTATTTTTCCCCAAGTAAAATACTGCCAGAGTAGCCTTACAAGATTGGGAAGGTTTTCTCAACCAAATAAAATATGCCTTAAGAGAAAAGGAGAGGCCTGTCGCTGTCATCCCTGTCTGGCGTCGGGCAGGCTGTCTGAGAAGTACTGAAAGGGAGGTGACACAGAGCTTCCCAGGAGGGTGCTGCCTGGTGACCAGCATTTCTTCTTATGCTCCAGCATGGAAGGTTCCATCGTGCGTCTGCCCCAGATCGTGGCCCTAAAGAAGAAATACAAGGCTTACCTCTACGTAGATGAAGCTCACAGTATTGGGTCTGTGGGCCCCAGCGGTCGTGGTGTGGTGGAGTTCTTTGGAATGGACCCCAGAGATGTTGATGTGTGCATGGGCACATTCACCAAAAGCTTTGGAGCCTCAGGAGGTTACATAGCTGGAAGGAAGGTAAGAGAGAGGTCCCTTGCATCTGGGAAGGCAGTCTTTGGGGTTCTCTGATTCCCATGAGTGCTCCAGTTCAGCTCAGCACACCTTGATCCATCAGCACAGGTAGCTGCAGTGTGATCACAGCCAGGTCAGACCCAGAAGGTCAAGGAGCTCACCCTCTGATAGAGCAGATGAGCCTGTGATGAGTGATCACGTGAGCATAAAAAGACAGCACTGTGTTCACAGGCACAGACTTAGTACAAAGGAGAGGGGTGATGACCTCTACTGGGCAGAATCTAAGAAGTCTTAGAATGAATGCCAGTCTTGTAGACAAATGTTGGGGGAGAGTATATTTCAGAAAGAGGGACTCATGAGTATCAAGCCACAGAAGTGATAATGGGATGCTACAGAACTGCAAGTAGTTTGGTTCATGTGGCATGAAAAACAAAAGGTGGGTGGTAGAAACAGTGGACAAAGGTCAGGTGTTAAGGAGTCTAACCCTGTGTTACAAGATGTGGGTTTTAAGAGTTTTAATCAAAATAGCAGCAAGATCAGAAATGCCTTTTGTTGAGATTTTCCTCTGCAAAATAATTCTCTCCTACAATTTTGGATGAGCTATGGGTCAAGATTTGTCATCCTCCAATATCTACATGACTTCAGATTCTGATCTGACGGGATTAGACTCTTAAGTGTGTGTTACCCTCTGTCAACCGAAACAAAATCCACAACCTAAAAGCTGAGTGTTATGGGTTTTTTTGGTGGATTTTCTGAGGACTCAAACCCAGGAGGCAGCCTTTCAGTCACTCTAAGAGATTGTTCTAAAGTGGCAAGGCAGAAGCCAGGATACATGAATTTTTCCAGAAAAGATCAGGTGGTCGGAACATCAAAAGATTACTGTTAATTAAGGAAAACCAGACATCTCAAGTTAAGGAAATTAGTGCTATTTAGGGTCAGTATCCTGTTCTTTCCCATCCTGAGTACTTTGGGGACACTTTTGGGGGTGGCAGCAGAGTCTGGGCTGTCTGTTTGTCTCCATCCTGACTTCCCTTCGCTCACCGTCAGGGGGTGGCAGCAGCGGCTGATGACTTGATGGCCACAGCATCCTTTGTTTACTAATATAGCTTGCAACATTTTTTATTCACACCTTTCATTCTAGTGCTAATGTCACCAGGGGGGTTGCCAATACAAAACAAAGGTTCAAAAAAATTGTAAAAGAAGAGGGAGGAGAAGGAGAGGAAAAATATGAAATATTAAAACCTGGGTTTGAGGGATAAGACTCAGCCATCTGCTCCCTCATATGACGGTTTTATCCAAATCCTAGTAGCTATCTCCTACAGGTCTATGCCTGCCCCAAGACACTGTCAGGGTGGTGTTGGCTCCACCTATGAGGGCACAGCAGGCCCAAAAGCAGTGCATGCAGGTGGTGGCTAACAGCTCATCTGAAATTCCCAAATCCTTACTCATCGTTACCAGCAGGAACAGGAGATCAGACTCTTGGAAACCAGTTCAACAGACCATGAATTACAGTGGAAAACAGTCTGGTTTTGAAAGCCCAGAATTTAGAACAACAGATTTTATTGTGGCCACTCACACTGCCACGAGGTGCACAAATGCTTAAAATGTCCAGAGCTTTCAGTGGTCTTCACCCTTCCATAAGCATCATTATCTTCCGAGCTCAGCATGTTCATCCTCCCTCCTCTGGCCTGAGGGAGTTAGCTGGGAGATGCTAAAAACATAGGGAATGCCCAGGATGCTACAGAACTCGGCTGAATCTGGTGAGAGGTTAAATGTTCCTCTCCTTGACTGTCAAAGCCGTGGGATCAGAGCAAACTTAGGAGTGCCCTCACCCTGGCTATTCTGTTCTGTGAACTTGTGCTTTGTGATGACTTTAGCAGCAGTTCTGAGCTACAGATTTTTTTCACCAAACATAACTCTGCTTCCTGAACCAACAACACCTGAATAAACTGAAGTGAGTGGATGCTTGAGATGTCAAATTTGGTAGCTGTCACAATTTTCCCCTTAGAGTTCTATCATTGAAACTCATTTCATTTATTTTTTTAAAATATTTTATTTATTTATATTTATTTATGATTGTATTCTTTAATTATTTTTGGCGAGGGGAGGTAATTAGATTTATTTATTTTTAATAGAGGTGCTTTGGATTGAACCCAGGACTTCACGTATGCTAAGCATGTGCTCTACCACTTGAGCTATACCCTCCCTCTGAAACCCACTTTAAAGACTCCTGACGGTCTGAAGTTCCGACCAGTTCATTGTGGTTATCTCATACTCTCCATCCTGAAGTCTGGTGGATTTACTTCAAAAGTGTGATTGAGCTTGTCTGTGTAACTTTTATTGATTTGGGGTAGATACTGAGCAACTGTAAAACTTATTTATTGTTTACATTAATCAGGATGAAGAAACCGTTTATAGATTTTTTTTGTTTGTTTAAAAACTTCATGCTATGCATACTTGGGCCCAAAGTCATCATTCTTCCTCCTCCCTGTGCCCTCTCTCTCCCCCTCCTCCCCTCTCCTTCCCATCTCCTCTGACGTCCCCCTTGGTGTTACACTGCAGCCTCCGAATTTACCACTAGGTGGCAGCAGGAATTCGAGCGTCTTTGGCAGAGACCCATTGGCTTGTACAGAGACCTACCGCCCTGAAATACAAGACGAAAAACCTAGAATGCAGGGCAGTTTTCAAGACATGGACGGTGAGCAGGAGATAGGAGACCACTTGAGAAAGTGTCTGCATATGTCATTCTCTGATGATTTTAAAAATCAGTCAGATAAACACCTGTCTGGAATCGTTTGGTGAGACTGTGACAAACCCAGGTAAACTGGTTTCCTTCCAGCCCAGTGAGACCATAAGTCAATGAAACTTATGCATCTGCTCCTCTGCGCCTTTAATTTGTTAAATTATGTTAATTTTAAATTATGTGTAGTTTCAATTTAAATTATAGTTTTTATTCCCCTGGACTTTGAAGAATTTTGAAAAAATATCTTCCTACTATCTAGTTAAATAACTGGAGTTTAGTTTTCTGAATATCATCATATATATTTTTTTTCTGGATATTTTGAAGTATATATCTCGATTTGGGGGAGAATTGCAAAATATCCAGCATTCTAGATTCCAAACCAATGAGTATAAAAGCAACAAAATTATCCATAAAAAATGTTAAAGTGCACACACTAGGACTTTATGTTTTCCTGAAATCTTAATAATTTCAAGTTCAATATGCTCATAGGGTTCCTAGTAAATCTTGAAATTTGAAAGTAATCACTTGGCTCTAAAATTCTAGAAAACTATAAAACTGCCTAGCTCTTCACTCTCCTTTTAACTGTCAACATCCGTGTTAGTGGTAGAGGGACGATATTCCTAGTAACAGTTTCTAGGAGGCTCTAGAAATCTTTATGGAGCAGATCAAGGTTGGAACTGCACCCATTAGCAACCAGATGCGTCACGTAAGAAAATGTATTTGGAAACACACAAGAGGAAAAAAAATGGTTTGGTGCTAAGATATGACAACAAAGAGGAGAAATTTTGTCTTGGCTTCAGCCTTCCTGTAACAAAACGTCCTGCAAGTTCATCTCTGCTCTTGGAGTTTCCTACCCTGGCCAGACCGACTCTCCCCACCTCAGGAAAGCTGCAAATACAGTCTCTCAAGAGCCAGCAAGGTTTTGCTGTTTTGCTCCCTGTGAGTTTGGAGCTTCTGGAGATGACCTGTGAACAACCCAACTTGAAGTTCAATTCCATCCTTTCCAGACCTTCACTGAAATGCCAGGTCCCTACTTCTCTCCACCTCTCAGAGCTCCCCTCCATAAACGGCTTCTTTGAAAGAAGCCTGAGTTTACAGGGCTAGTTTCCTTATTTTATTTTTTAATTTGTGTTGATCCAGTCTCTGAGATGTGGATGAAACTGTGGACCCCAGGTTCTGGGTCCAGATTTTTCTCAGGCAGGATCCTGAGTCCTCTTGCCTGCCTGGGGCTGACCACTGACTTTCACAGCCTCCACAAGCCCAGGCACTGGCCAACGAATGGGGACAAGGCAACCCTCCTGACTGCTGGGTTGCAGGGCTGGGATTCCAGAGGAGGGAGGCGGGGCAGGGCAGCCAGTTTTGGAGTGAGTGTTACCCCAGGAGCCTGGGCACCAGACCAAGACAGAAGCCAGCTCTGCCCTGCATGCTCAGGCCTGGCTGTTTTCAACAGTGCTTTGAAGTAAATGGATGTTGTGCCATGAATGCCAAGATGTTTATTCTGAGAGCCTCCTGTCTGATTTCCTCAGAAAAGCCACCCTTGTCCTTGAACTTCAGGCTCTGGTTTTGCACTTACTAATGGTCTTGGAAACTCAGTCTGAGGAGACCTGTAACACCCCTACCCTACCCCACTCCCAAAGGAAAACACAACCCAGACCCGCCTTGCCGGAGACCAAAGCCAACTCTTAATTCATTGCTCATGACGCCCAGTGGGTGAGTGACAGGAGCTCTGCAGAAGTTACTCCAACAGACCTACTTTCTGAACCACACAAGCAAATCAGCTCCCATCCACACACTCAGACTCTGAGAGAAGGTGGACTCTGTCTGAAGGAAATAAGATTATGGGCAAGACAGTCTCAGTGTTAAAAGGAAGTGATACTGAGCTGATGCAAACGAAGGATACAAATGACTTTGGCTTTCTGAAATTCCTCGAATTGGGAAGGAAAATTGGGGGTTGGGGTCATAAGGAGCTGTTTAGGGATAAGAGGCAGATTTGTTTTGTTTCTTTGATCTTTGTCAGTGATGCCCAGTGTTAAGAGAATATTGCTACACCTGTTCCTAAGAATGGAGCTTTCTGCCCCCTCTATAAATCAGGGACCCTCACCATCCTTCCTCAGTCTCTAAACCCCTCTGCTTTCCATTAGACCATCAGTATTGACAAACCCACCTCTATGGGTTTTAAGCGAGGATATAATAAAATGTCTATCTCTGCTCCCTGCTCTCGAGAGGGTTCCTGTCTCTTTGCAGAAATAAAGTTAATACGTGTGAAACTTTTTGAGACTGATGCAGTTCATTCTGTGGTTTATCACCATGAACATTTTAGTATATTAGGAATGCTCCCCTTCCCCTCCTCCTCCAGAGGACAGTCTCTGTGGATTAGGAAAGCACCACAGGGGTAAGTAGCAGTGAAAGTGGTCTCTGTCTGAGCCAAGCCAGCTTCTCTGGTCTGAAGAAATCATATACTGTGGTGCTAAAGCAGGGAAGTGAGGAAGCAGTGGTTAATCTAGAGTCAGACTCTTTGGATCAAAATCCTTGTTATCTAACAATGTTTTGGTTGGATAATTTTCTGACCTGTTCTGTGACTCACTGAGCCCACCTATGAAATGGAAGCAAAAACAGTACCTACCTCATAGCATTATTGTGAATCTAAAATGAGTTAATGTTTGCAAAGTTCTTCAAATGGGGCTTCAAGCAGCCAATGATTATCAGCTCTCGGTCTGTCAGTGGATGTATCATCTCTCCTATCTCTGCAGAGTCATGCAATCTGTCATCAGGTCTGTGCTCTCCTTTCGTCAAAATGCCTCTGTTTTCCTATCTTTCACTCCTACCATTACTGCCCAGTAAGGATGGAAAAAGTTCCGGGCTGAAAATCTTTGGTTTGATGTCTAAGTCTCCCAATGTGCAGTTACATAACTCACAGCATCACCCTCTGCAAAATGAGGGAGCTGGAATAAAGACACTCCAGCAGGTCTTCACTATGTACCTGATGCTTTTCTAAGCACCACATTTATATAAATTCATTTAATCCTCAAAATGATCCTGAGATAAATATTGCCATTATCTCATTTTTTAGGGAAGAAAACTAAGGCACAGAGAGTAACTTACCCATGATCACATATCAGCAAGTGGCAGAGCCAAGATTTGAACCCACATGAACCGGGCTCCAGAGCCTGTCTCGTAACTCCGCTGCCAGACCTGCCCTTGAGGGAACAAGCCCTCAGCACCTTTCCTTGGAGGAACTAGATTCTCCCTCTGCTCCCATTTGACTTCTACATCCTTTGCTGATTAAGACACCATCTTCATTTCTAATTTTAGCATGTGTCCCTGCCTCTGTCCTCTGCAACAATCTCCCCATCCTTCAAGTCAGATCACCTCAAAATAGCCCTTTCCTGACTTGGGTCCACATGAGCTCCTATCATCCTGTTTTCTGTGTCCCACCCACTCCCCCCTCATTGACTTTCCCATCATCCTGTGGGGAGGCACCTACTCTCAACAGAGAAAGAAAACCCTGCTGCTGCTCACGGAGGAGTCTGAAGGGCAGCCTGGCTGTAGCCACTTTGGAAAATGACCACCTCTTTCTCCCTGAGCCCCTCCCCACCTCCCCCATCCTCCAAAGTGGGCTTCCTGGGTACCATGTGGCCTGGGCTTCAGGTCAGGCCAACGTCATTCACATCCTCGTCAGATATGGTGATAACACACCCAACCGCTTTTATGAGATTCACTAAACAAAAGAATGGGCAGGAATTTAACCCTGATTTAATCAAGAGGAGGGCTGCCAGGGACCAGGCTTTCTGCCCCCCTCTTCTGGGACCCCTGCATCCAGAACAGAGCCCAGAGCAAGGCCTTGGACCAACTTGCTGGAAGGAAGATGGAAAGAAGGAAGAGGTGGGGTGAAGGGAGAGAAGAGAAGGAGGGAAGAAAGGAAGAAAGGGAGGAAGGGAGGAAACACTTATAAAGGGAAAGAACAAAGATTTAAATGGAGAATTTAAAATGAAAGGAAGTGAAGAGGGGATCAGAGTAGATGGGATGGGGAAGGAAAAGAAGAAACAAAACAAGGCATGAAGAGTGTGAAATGAAGGAGAAAGAAAGCTGGGGAAAGAGCGTGGAAGAGAGGTTTTAGGATGATGGACCTGTAGGAAGCAGCGGGGGGCGGGAGGTGGTGGCAGCCAGAGTGAAGCTACCAGATACACCTGGGGCCAGCTAGGGGAATCATGTCAGCAACAGCCTGTGAGGCAGGCCACTCATGTTACTTGAATGTTTACTAAAATTCCTACTAACCTTAGATACTCTACTTAATGAGCTAATAACTTTAGTTATTAGTTCATATGAAGATGAACTATGAACATTTAAAATGTTTGGGTAACCAGGTTGGGGGAGGAGTGGGTGGAGGGATTAATTGGGAGTTTGGGATTTGCAGATACTAAATACTATATATAAAATAGACAAATAGCAAGGTCCTAGAATAAAGCACAGGGAACTATATGCAGTATCTTGTAATAGCCTATAATGAAAAAGAATATATACATGTAACTGAATCACTATGCTGTGCACCAGAAATAAACACAGCATTTTAAACTGACTGTACTTCAATTAAATTTTTGTAAGTAAAAAAAAATAAAATTCCTGGGTAACAACCACAAGACGCACACCCCCAGAGAGAGAAAGGTGAAAGGCCAGCATGCTCCCAGGCACAAAGGTGGGAGTGGATGTGGCCTGTGAACATCCCCATAGCAGAGCTCCCCCGAGTTCATCTTCGAGGGGATGATCAGAGAAGACACTTAAGTGGGATTCTCAGCTGCCTCATTTCCCTGGAAGAGAAGGTGGTTGATCCCTTGCAGACCCTACTGCTAACTCAGAGCTGTCATGGGCCACTAGCTTTCGTGCAGGACACCTGAGGGTCCCAGGCTGTGGGCCAGTGCAGGTGGGCTGATAAATGGTCTCCCCACTTAGGGCTGAGGGCTTCCAATTGCCAGGTCTGAGACCCCTTGCCCCACCCCACTAGGTAGAATTAGGTTATTAGAGCTTCTTTGGGCTCTCAGCAGGCTTACTTGGGACCTTATATTTGGCCTCAGGGCCTAAGCCTGTGGGTGGAGAATCATGCCCACCACAGCACAGAGCAGAATACTGCAGGGGGTCAGTACTCCAAATGGTGTTGCAAGAAAATTCCAGTAGCTCCCTCCTGCCCAGGTACAACCAGAGTTCATCTGGTCCTCACCTCCACTCTGGTTTTAATTTCTCACCTCTTCCTTCTGCCACTCCCCTCCCCTGGAAGTTTTCTTTTTATCTTTATCTGCCTCTTTCCTTGAGACTTCACTCCAGATTCTCACTGGAGCCTCCCTTATCTACTCCTATGGCCATACCCCATCTCTATCCTCTACAGTCTCTTAGCCACGCTGCATATATGAGTTTACATGTCTTGCTACTTTTCCTGCCATTACCCCTCCATGGGCACAATCAACTGTAACACGCTCAGGGCAAAAATCACAACCTGTATTCTCTGGACACTCCTGAATACTAACCCAGTGTTCCTACAGGCCAGCTACCCAAATACATGTTAAGGAAACCATTTTCCCTTTACACATCTGGGTTTGCCTTACAGACCTCAACTCCAATTTTGCAGCATCCCATTTTTGTAGACCTTTTAGGTTTTTAAGGGCAAGACCAAGAAGAAGGGATAGAAATATGAACAGTTTGGTGATGCCCATTGAAAAGCAGACCACATTCAAGACTCAAATGCCTTGTGCTATGATGGATGGAGACAGGACTAGATGTGATTCTCACCACCAACACGGAGATTCATTTGCCTTCTTTTTGGATTTCCCTCCTTTATTAAAGGACCTTGTGGATTATTTACGGGTTCACTCGCACAGTGCTGCATATGCTACATCCATGAGCCCCCCAGTAGCTGAGCAGATCATCAGGTCAATGAAGTTCATCATGGGACTGGATGGGACCACGCAAGGTAAGAGGGTCTGCAGTGAGAACACCTCCCCTGAACTCCTTTCCTAGACCTTGCTCTGTCTCTCTTCTGCCCCATCAAACTCTGCCTTTCTCAAATATACACTTTTGTCTTGACATAACCAATTTGTAAGCTATGCCATGTGTGCATCAACAGTACATGGTATATAAAAGTACAGGGAGCAGAAATGTACTAGAACTGCTGTCAGCGCAAAAAAGTGGGGGGGTGATTTTTAAAGCAGGGAAAGCTTTCTAATTCACCTCTTAACATGATCAGCAAATGTGGATAATTTTGTTTAATTAGTTGTGTTAAAATGAATCAAATCTTGGTGTGTGTTTGCCTGTGCTTGGTTGAGGCTGTTGCTTGTGTTCCCCTAAGAACAAATCAGTCAATTCATTATTCATTATCTTTCATCTACCCACCATCCATCTATTCATTCACTTATTCATTACCAACCAGGGATTGGAGAGAAGAAACTCCCACTGCCCATTGAAGGACACATGGACAGAAAACTCACAATAACAATTTTCCAGCCATTTCTCTGATGTTGGGTCCCCACAGCCAAGGTGTCTAGTTTGTTCAATTCAAATGGTCTTTATCTTCTTTCTGAGAAATCATTTCATCAAAGGCTCTTGGAACTCTCCTTCTTTCCTTCAGGTAGTTTATGGAGCTTGTATTTCATATCACCATGGGGGACAGTGAGGAATAGGCAATCTAGTGAGTGCATTTATGGAAGCAAGTCCCCCTTGGCCCAGACCTGCCCAGTGGGCTGTAAAATCCATGCCCCTCCAACTCCAAATGACATGAAGCTCTGCCTTGTTTAGCACAACTGTCCAAGTCTGCTATTTCAGAAGTATGGAGAGATCCACCATTTTTCAAATTCATTAAAGCAGCAGAATACTTTATTCACATCTAAATTTTACCCAGAAGCCTACTATATAAAGCCGATTAGAACAGGGCTGGTCTGGATGAAGTCATGTCTCTACCTGCCTCCAACCTGACAGTCCTTAAAGCCTTTCTATTGAGCCCCAGTGCTTCCTAGGTCACTGGGTTGGAAAGGAAGGCGAGAACTTTCATTTTCACTGAAGCAAGAAAATGGCTTACAGGGTGATTTTGTTCCTCCAGGTAAAATGCATTGATGGATTGATCTCTAATTTCCTTTTCCAAGGCTTGTTTTGGGTTTTATGATTCTGTGTCTTATTGAATAGTCCCTGTGAAAAAGAAATGATAATCCAGTCTAGGAAGACTGCCTGTTACAGTGGTTATGGGCATAAACTAATGGCAGCTGCCTGGACTAGATCCCTGGAAGACTACTTGATTTGCTGTGTGGCCTTAGGCAAATAACTTATCTGTTCAACCCTGAGCAAGTTACTTCTCTGTGCTTCAGTTTCTCTAGCTAAAATGAGGAAAATATCATTCATGAGTTAAGAGTTTTGTAAGGATTAGGTAAATTAAGACATATAAAATGCATTATGACTGAAAACAATTTTATATATAGTAAGCATTATATAATTGCTTGCTACATTGCTTGGTATTATTCTCAAGGGGTCTCAAGAATGCTGCAGGAAGGATTCCTTTGTTAGAAGTGGAGTAAGGCTAGATTTCCTTCAAAGGCCTGGATTAGTGAGTATGAGTCATAGTGGGCCAGTGTAACAAATAAACCCTGACAATCTCAGTGGCTTAACTGAACCAGGGTTTACTTCTTGCTCACACCAGATCTAATACAAAGTGGACCCCTCTCTGCACACTGCCCCTCCGTGGGAAGGGACTAAGGCTGCTGCTAGCTTGAGGCTTGGCCATCTCACCACATGGCCCCCAAGTCTCCATGGTAGAGAGAAAGAACATCGGCCTGGAAGTGACACTTACCTCCTTGCTTACAGTTCCTTGGCCAAAACCAGCCATAGGTCCCACCTATGGGTGGTGGTAAAGTAAGGGATATGGATATAGATAAGAATAAGCAGATATCATTCAAACTTTTAAAACTGAAGCTAGAAATAGAGCTGTCTCCATTCCCACAGGAGCTGTCAGTATGTGTGATAAAACGGGTCTGTAACCACTGGCTTCTCACAAGGTCATCTTAATAATCTTGACCTCATACATTTCTTAATGGAAAACAATGGTATGAGACTTTAACTAAAATGCAAGTTAGGTGAATTGTCTTATACTGACCAGAATTATCCAATGGTCTTATTTTAAAGACGAATAACTAGAAAAAAGTAACTTTGAAAATTGTCTAAGTCTTAATAAATATCATTTTAAGCCCTGTAGGGTATATGTTATCAGAATCAGTTGATTAACATTTACCCAATTAGACAATCATTTCCTTCCAGCCTCTGCACTGCTTTACCACTTCATCACAGACAGAACTCGCTCTGTTTATTTGATCAAAAAAGAACTGCAGAAAAATTGCATTTAAAGATGTGATCATAGGTCCATTGATAGCTGTCTATCAGCAATTTTTCTTCCTCTCTGGTGGGAGATACTTCCCTTGGTTCTCTCTCTTAGCCTTATAATTAAGAATTGCTTGGTTATTGTTTTTAATTTCCCATTTTAATTTTTTCCCTTCATTCTTCTTGCCATCTTAAGAGAGGAAAGAAATAAACAACAGAGAAGGTTATGTGCACAGACTTGTGCTCTTAGAGTCAGGAGAGGAGAATCGGGGGAAAGATGGGACAGTTTCTTTTCAAAGGAATGAGCAAAAGAAAGTATTAGGAAAGAAACTGACATAATCATCAGCCAAGTTTCAGACACTCAGCCTGACTTGGCTTTTGAAGAGTTCAAAGTCAGACAGTGAGTGACTATGCTGGCCTCATTAACTATGATGCCTGCTTTAACTAAGATAAATAGGATTGGCGGGGAGCTTTGCATTAACTCACCCGTTTCTGCAGAGACATCAACTCTTAGGGCAAGGTTGCCCAGAGCACAAATGGACACACTATATCAAGCCAGAGCTGCCCTACAGGACCTGAGACAAAGCCCAGCCCCAGCCTTCAGCTTCCACCCCCTCCCCTGCAGCTGTGATTGGAGCCTTCCAAGGCTTTGTTTTGGGTTGAGTTTGGGGAGCTGTTGGCTGGATCTGTTCCGTGATGAATGTCTTCACTTTAATCTGCAAGGCAAAGCTGTATGCTTCAAAGAAAGATAAGCAACAGGAATAAGGTCAGTGTTCCTTTGAAGCCAAGGTTCAAAGATGAAATAGCAGTTCCAGTGAAATTACAGCGTTTATGCACAAACAGCCACCCCTACTCTGCAGCCAGGCTGCTGGAAGAGTTAATGCACATGAGCGAAGGGCAGCGACCTGCCTGTGCCTTATACAGGCCCTGAGGAGTCTCATGGCCGTCACTCCATGCAGCACACTGAGCCCAAAGTGGAGACCTGGTCCTTCCAAACCAATGGATGTTGGGGGGGTCCACCAGCCAGACCAACACTATAAAATCCTCAATGGCAAGAACTGTGCCTTGAATTAATTTGGGGTTCCTCTGAGTGTCAAACCCACTTCCAGGCTTAATAAATACATCATGACTCAACTTCCATCTTGCACATACACTCGACTTCAGGTCAGTGTTTATGCTAAAAAGATGGAGGGCCATTTATCTCATAGGACAGGGACCTGGGAGTCAGGCCCACACCAGTTGTGGCAGCTGCAGGGATCCCTCGGTCACGGGGACCCCTCAGGGATGGATGTCACTTTCGAAAAGACCCAGAAAGGTGGCAGTTCAGTCATTTTCTTCATCTAGATGTGGCACAAATAATCACAGGAGGGTGAGCACCAAACCATGCTAACATCTCCCCTGAAGAAAGCACTGTCAGCATTTGTCTTATATACTTAAATCTTTGATGCATGGTTTTCACTTAATCAATCCACATTCTTTTTGAATCCCCAATTTTGGCTCTCTGTTCCTATTTTCCCTTTCCCCAACTTGGGGTAAACGTTCACTTTTCAGAGAGTTTGGTCCGTAAGAAGAGTTTAGGTGCATACTTTGCAGCTAGACTGCATGGGGCCCAGTCCCCTACCCAACACTGGTTCCATGAATGGCAAGTTGCCTACTCTCTCTAGCCTCAGTTTGGTGCTTGTAAATTGGGGTTGTGGGGAGAAGATTAAGGGATGTAATATATATGGTGAACATAGCTTGATGCTTGATGCATAAGTAAACACTTGATGAAAGTGCACAGTTATTGTTACTTTTAACTCATCTGCTTTCTCCCCTTCTTTCTCCAATTTTTCCAATAGTCTTTACAGATCCTAGAATCTTCCTGTCTCTCAGGTCTTACACTTACTTCACCAGCAAATCCTACAGCACTTCCTTTGACATATTCCTGGAATCTGGCCACCTCTCCCCTTCTCCACCATGGCCTCCGTCTGGTCTCCCTTGGATCCCTGGAGTGGCTCTTGAACAGTCTCCTCACTCCTGCCCTTGACTTGTTCTCTACACAGAAGCCAACGTTATATTTTAAAAAAATGTAGCTCTGACCATATAACCTCTTCACTCAGAAATTCCCATTGTTTCCCATCTTACTCAGTGTAAAGTCCAGACTGAGCCCTTCAGGGCTTCTTGGGATGTGGTTTCCATGTTTCCCACCACTCCTGCCCTTGCTTGGTCCACTCCCTGCAGCTGGCATCCTGGCTTTTCCTAGAACCCGGGAAACAACTCCCACAGAGGGCCTTTGCACTTGCTAGCCTCTCTGGATAAGTATGTCTGTCCAACACCCGTGTGGCCCACTCCATCAATGTCCTCCCCTCTTTGCTCAGAATCAGCCTTAGGAGAGGGGCAGCTGTATCCTTAATGGTACACACCTCCTTGTCCTGCTAATACTCTTTCCCTTGCTTCAGTCTTCCATTTATGAGCAGCTGACAAATCCTATATGTATCTGCTTACTTTCCAGTTTCCCTCACTAAGATGTAAACTCCAGGAGAGCAAGCATTTTGTCTATTTTGTTCATTACACTGAGAACAGAGCCTGACAATTTACAAGTTCTCACCAGATATTCGTTGACTCCCCTCTTTC